ATAGAATATATGGTTACGGAATATCTGTTTCATGGATGACAATGGAGGGCAGGGCACATTTTTAGGTTAGGAAAAGGCACTGCTCATTTTTTTTTTGTCCACATTTCTGTGTGTATCCATCTTGGCTTTTTATCTCAAGTTAACATTGCTTTTTTACTGTATATGTTGACAATAAAGATGCATAAGTTGTTATTTTGATTATTTATTCTATAACATTTGCATTAGATAAATCATTCATACATTGTCATAATACATGGCAATACACATCCATACATCACATCATTGTTAACTAAAAGAGGCAAAATAAACTTACTATCAAACTAAAAACTCACAAACATTTTAGAATCAAAACATATGAATAATAAAAACATAACCAAATAAAAATAATCAAACATGAATCAGAATGTAGATACAGCACTATTAAACAATTGCACTAACACTTAAGCAACTTTCACTCTTAGACACTCATCCAGACATACATTTAAATCTCAGATATTCTAATGCATTATATTTCTAAAGTTCTAATGTTCAATGAAACACAATTATCTATGCAAACATTTCATCAATATAACATAATAATTAATTAAAAGTCAAGCCATTGTTCATAAATTTCCTAACACAGAGATTTGATTCTTCTGTCTTTGGCCTAAAAGAACTGGGTAACTGTAGGTTGAAGTATGCTAGCAAACATTGTGTCATCGCAGTCCAGTTTTACATTTAGTAGTTGGTTTAATGTACTGGTCTTCATGCTGTTTTTGTGACTGGTCTTAATAAGCTTCACCTGTGAGAATACCATCTCCACCTCTGCTGTACTAAGTGGAAGTATGGTGGCCACACTTAGAAGTCTGTATACCAAGTGATAGATGTCTTTGAGTCCTGTGTCTGTAGAATTGTGAAGAAGTTGTAGTAGTTAAGTCACTCACCTGTCCTGTGCTGTCATGGTGTTCAGTAGTTGAATGAAGTCTTGCCATTGTGTCTGTAGTTCTTCTGGGTCCATGGAGAAGTGGTCTGCTAAGCTGAACATCTCGTTGGACCCATAAAGTGCTGGGAGTTCATCAGGTGTACCACTCAAATCAAGGACTGAAAGCTGGTCAATGACGTCTGTGTCAACAAATCTGTCTTGGATGTTGTTGATCAATTTGGTCAGGAATGGCTCTTTGACTTGGGTGTTGAAGTCGGAACTTGATGAAGTTGTCAGTTGTAAATCTGATGACATCAGGAGTACTTAAGCTTCCATGGTCCATCTTGAGTTTGTCTGGTTTCCAGCATCCTGATGGTTTTGTCTACTGTAGTTTTTACCATGCCAATGCAAGGTTCACATCCCACGTTGAAAGACCAGTGAAAGAGCAGATATGTGTGTAGGGTGTCTGCAAGTAGCAACAAGGATCTCAGTGTGGTTGGGTCTTTAAGGCTCTTCTGGATGCCATTACCAAATGGGTCAGCAGTCAGGGGACTTACTTAAATGAATGATTTTAAATCACTGATTCAAGTAAAATTTGTTCACAAATGTTGGAAGTAAGAGTTGTCTTTCTTTAATAATCACCTATTTAAGTAGTACAAATAAATCACTAGACTAAGTGATTTAATCTTATCGTAGCTTTAAATATACAATAATAATGATCCAGGGACTAAATATATTGCTAAAATTATCAGAACCAACATCTGTGATTATAGGATGACCAGTCATGTCAGGTGATGACATTGTACTGAATCTGGGATATAAATGGACACAACAAATGCAAAATTGAGTTGTCCCACAGCTACATCAAGTTATCTTAAGCTCTTGTAGCTATGTTTAGTTCTGTCAAAGGTCATGATCCCAATGGTCACATAATACGTAATTATACTTTCCAAAAAATAGAAGATCGTCGAATAACAGTCAGTGGTAAAAATATTATATTTTAATAGTTAAATAAAATGCTCCGCAGGGCACAGCTTGATACGACCGCAGAGGTCGAACCCTGAACAGTTGGGGCAAGTATGGACACAACATTCAAGCTTGATACAGCTCTGAATTTGGATTGTGATTAAATATTTGACACAGCATAGGTTTCTGACACAGAATGAATGTGGTCTAAGAACTTAAAGATTTTAAATTGGACATTCACCTATTATGGTCCAATATCGAAAATCTAAATACATGGTTAGATTCAGCATATCAAAGAACCCCAAGAATTCAATTTTTGATGAAATCAAACAAAGTTTAATTTCGGACCCTTTTGACCTCAATGTGGACAAAGTTGATAACGGGGCCCAAAAATCAAAAATCTAAATACATGGTTAGATTCAGCATATCAAAGAACCCCATATATTCAATTTTTGTTGAAATCAAACAAAGTTTAATTTTGGACCCCGATTTGGACCAACTTGAAAACTGGGCCCATAATCAAAAATCTAAATACATGTTTAGATTCATCATATCAAAGAACCCTAAAAATTCAATTTTTGTTAAAATCAAACTAAGTTTAATTTTGGACCCTTTGGACCTTAATGTAGACCAATTTGAAGACGGAACCAAAAATTAAGAATCTTAATACACGGTTAGATTCAGCATATCAAAGAACCCCAATAATTCAATTTTTGATGAAATCAAACAAAATTAAATTTTGGACCCTTTGGACCTCAATGTGGACCAATTTAAAAACGGGGCCCAAAATCCAAAAACTTAATACACAGTTAGATTCAGCATATTAAAGAACCCCAAGAATTCAAGAATAAAACCCCATTGAAATTGATCAAGAAATAAGCAATTTATACGAAGTATCTTCTTTTGCACAATACTGTGCAATTGAATATTTCTTGCTATTGTGCAATACTGTACAATTGACAATTTCTTGCTATTGCGCAATATTGTGCTATTGGATATTTCTTGCTATTGCACAATACTGTGCAATTGAAGATTTCTTGCTATTGCGCAATACTGTGCAATTGAAGATTTCTTGCTATTGTGCAATACTGTGCAATTGAAAATTTCTTGCTATTGCACAATACTTATTATATAATAATTTACACATCCTGTTTGGTGTGTATCTCCTACCATATCATTATTATTTGCTTTTAAATATTAATCAGAAATAACCAACTTAAAATGGAAAATTTTAAAAGAAAAAAAAAAAATCCCCCCCCCAAATTTTTTGAACCCCCTTATGATTCATCACCCCCAAACTCAATCCCAGCCTTCCCTTTGTGGTATGGTACCTTGCAGTACAATTTCAGAGAGATCCATACACTTGAACACAAGTTATTGTCTGGAAACTAGAAAAATGCTTATTTTTGGCCCCTTTTTGGCCCCCAATTCCTAAACGTTTCGGGCAATTACCCCCAAACTCAATTCCAGCTTTCCCTTTGTGATATGGAACCTTGCAGTACAATTTCAGAAATATCCAAACACTTACACACAAGTTATTGTCATGAAACTAGAAAAATGCTTGTTTTTTGCCCCTTTTTTGGCCCCTAATTCCTAAAATTTTGAGGCAATTACCCCCAAAATCAATTACAGCCTTCCCTTTGTGATATGGAACCTTGTGGTACAATGTCAGAGAGATCCATACACTTACATACAAGTTATTGTCTGGAAGTTACAAAAATGCTTATTTTTGGCCCCTTTTTGGCCCCTAATTCCTTAACTGTTGGTACCATAACCCCCAAAATCAATCCCAACCTTCCTTTCGTGGTATTGAACCTTATGGTAAAATTTCATAGAGATCCATTCACTTAAACTAAAGTTAGAGTGCGAAAACCAATGTGTCTTCGGACGACGACGCCGGACGACGACGACGACGCCAACGTCATACCAATATACGACCAAAAAATTTTTAATTTTTGCAGTCGTATAAAAATTGGCAAGTACGTATATCATGTATATACCGAGTTGAGTCTTTGTTGAAGAACGATCTGATAGACGAGTTTGTCTATGCGACTTTCTGCTTGTCACTCACAAGTTAAGATTGATGACGTTTTATAGTACATTGCCGAAACGGCACAAGGGCGTTTTGGAACAAGGCGGCAGGGCAGAAGGCGCGGCTGAGGGCACCAATGGCAAGGCACCCTTCTATTTTGGGCTAACGAGTACACTGCAGAATATATATTATATTGCCATCGGACTAGTCAGCTGTCGGAATAATGGGATGTATTTTATAAAGCAAATCATATTCTGACCCCGTGTAATTTGTTAATAAATAGTTTGATGAGAATCTGTATAAATAATTCCCTGTGTAAAGCAAATCAAATTCTGCATATATATACATAATCAAAATTCTGTATAGCATGTATGTGCGTATGCAAAGGATTGTTACGTCATAATTCCGTATATATATATACGGAATTCAAAGTCTATCCATACGGAAATAGTTCTGTATATCCTTTTTTTGAATTCTGTAAATACATAAACGATTTTTGTCTATTCGAAAAGGCAAAAAATACATAATTGAATAATACACCTCTACACTACTACACACAAATTTTTTACCCTGATACTGCGCAATAATTATTATTAAGTGTCTGACTAATGGGTTGTAGGATTATTGGGATGTCGGAGCAATGGGTTGTCGATTATTGGGCTGTCAGATTATTAGATTGTCGAACTGATGGGTCGGAGCAATGGGTTGTCGATTATTGGGCTGTCAGATTATTAGATTGTCGAACTAATGGGTCGGACCAATGGGCTGTGGGAACAATGGGCTTCGGACTAATGAGCTGTCGGACTAATGAGCTGTCGGAATAATGGCGTGTAACCAAACAAAGATTGGAAATTATGACCCATTTGGCAGATAATCCCCAATAATGGCAATATGTAGGAACAAACTTGGTTATAGTCTGAGATAGCTATTGGTCGAGTTTGTGAGGCCGAATTTGTTTTAGGGCGAGTTTGTTATGGGCCTAGTTATCTAATCTTTATCGGGTACCGAACAAACCGGGTGTCACTGTTAATGAATTTGGCTAACTATTCATGCTGTTACTATTAGTATTAACAATAACAGGCAATGACAGGTCAACAATACCTCAGATTTGCAGAAAATTGCACTCTTTGGTAAAAGAACTAAAGATGAGCATCTTTCACAAAACACTTTAGTCCGATTCTTCCCATCTTCGCTGAAGTCGTTTGGCTCCAATGGATCGTTTTTCGTGTCACATTCTGCCATGTTATCAAAAGGCAGAAAACATTGGTTGTATGTTCCGATTTCAAATCATCAGCTTTTTCTCATGATGCCAAAACTAATCATATCAGAAAATACATAATAAAATAAAAATCCAAATTTTCAGTATAACTGACATTCAGCAAAACATTCTACTATAAATGAATAAGCATGAGACGAGGAGAATTTTTGATATCGGATTTTAGCAATTATTTTAGACATTTCTTTTAAGTCACATAAGCGTTTTAAACAGGGTAAAATTGGAATATATTTATCAGACACAAATTGACACTGAACAGAAAGCAACATTATTTTGAGACTCTTATTTTTGCAGAAGGTCCCATACTTGTTGAAAGCAGAATATATTCATACAATTGCGAATAACAGATTGCATAATTACTGGTATTTGTATGAGAAAAATTAAGGTTCATCAAAAGGAACTGAAAAATATGGCCGTTTTTACACCAGAAAATCTACTATGCCTATGGGTACAGACAAACTGATGCATCTAGGAAAGTTTTAAGGCATGGCAGGACCTAGATATATAAAGTCTATGGTTCAGAAAATTTAAAACTTACCTGGTATTTGATGTGCATTTTTTTCCAGTCTGCAGAAGATAGCAAAATAAACAAACACACAAAGTTTCATTTGAATACACCTTATCGCTATTTGGAAATCTGTCCCGCTTGACCCTAGAATCAGTCCCGCTTGAACTTTTGACGTCATACAACAATCACTTTTCCATTGTGGCGTCAGATATTTTCTATTATGACGTCAAAATTATACGGGAACTTTTGTGATGTCCAGTAATGGCGGACAAATAGCGATAAGGTGTATTTAAAACGGTCCACTCAGTTACACAGTTTAAATATTTAAATCACCTATTGTTTGAAGATGTCTATTGTCCATCTACATGTATTGTCCATTTAAATCATTACTACTCACAACAATTATATGAGGGGAGCTTCTCAAACCTCTTTCCAAACTTAGTTTATATTTTTGGCACCTTCTGCTACTCTGCAGGAACTAAAAAAAATGAAAAGCAAAATCCAGAAAAATGTATTGTTTTCTGAAACATAAAATGCATTTAAAGTTAAATTAGCTAGTTCCTGCCATGCCTTAAAACTTTTCCAGGTGCACAGGTTTGTCTGTACTCAGAGTTAAATTTTTTGGTGTAAATACGGCCATATTACATGTATTAGCCAAAAGGTTATGATGAACCTTAAATAAGCTCTGAAGGAAGACAAGTAGTCGTTTGCAATCCAAAAAATAAGTTGCTTGGCATGTGAAAAATAATTATCACGCCAGTTACCGTCACCTATCATTTTACAGGTTAAGAACAACCCCTCAAATAAGGGATAACCCCTCAAAGTAATGACCATCCCTTTTTATGACAATGTATGAGGTGTAAATTTCAAGTGATAAACAATTTTTTTTTTTAAAACAACTTTTAAGTACATAAGGGCACATATTTACATTATTTGCAGAAACTTTTCTCAGAGAACAATACGTCTATCTGGTATTATATTGACAAAACATAACCATGAATTTTGGAATATTCATGGACTTCAATCTTCTTTATTATTGAAAATAAGAGGACCCTTTACTTATACATGTACAAATAATGTTTTTTTACAGCCCCTCAAATTCAGAAGTTTTGTGAGGTCAAAACATGCCTAAACAATATTTTTCTGGTTTCAGGTTTGCTAATTATTTTTCAATTTGAGTTCAACTTTTTATTGCAAAAACTAAAAGAAATCTTTTGCACACAAATATTAAGTAACTGTGCAAGGCCTTAAAAAATTGCTCCCTTGAGGCTTGTACATGTAAATGAACAGTATTTTAAAGATAGCAGATCTAGACAAATGAGATTTTCATTGTCCATGAAATTGTGCTTGTAAGAATATTAAAGACAACTATTAACAGTCAGGGGTGCTATTTAAAGAGGTGATTTCATTATCACCTATTTCAGTGATTTGATAAATTCTGTTTTCACCTATTTAAGTGATTTTGGTGTTTCTTTTGATCTTCAAATGCTAATTTCATTGATTTTCCATATTGTGACAAACTTTTCTATAATTTTCCTACATAGAACTAATTATCCCTTTCTTTTGTATATCAGTTTCACCAGTGCGCTTGGACATGAGTTAGTGTGCTAAAGCTTTTAAAAGTACCCTTGGGAATTTCTCTATAATCAAATATTCATTAACTACTTTTACTATCAGACAAAGGTCAACAATATTAGGTAACCTGATTGGTTTTCTTTAGAGTTATAATGATCTACTTCAAGGTTATGTCCTGATCTACAAATTATTCCAGTTTTTGCATATTTTAAATAAACTGTAAAAACGGACAGGCTAATCAAGCAAAAGACAATTTCTGCATGTACATAGTTGTTTTTTTCAATGGAATTCTTGTCTTTTTACCAATAAAAAAGTCAAGCTTGTGGGAAAAATATCAAGAAAATGTTATAAACACTTGTTGAAGTGATTACATTTTAACTTCTCAAATTACTTGTTTCAGTGATTTTAAAAAGTCTGTGTCTATTTTGTGAACATTTTTAATATTTCAAAGCCAAAATCACTTGAAGAAGTGATTCTCAAATCACTTGTTTAAGTAGTACCCCTGACTGATTAATGACAGACAAATACACAGCCTACTAGAGCAAAGTAGTAGAGAGAAATTCCAGAATAGAAGAAAATAAGACTATATTTACTTGTTTAAGTAAAACAAAATCTGAATGTCTAAGGGATATAACTTTACCTCCAAAAATAATTTACCTGTACCAGTAAATAAAAAAAAAACACTGAATAAGTATTAACCCTGACTGAATGGGATATATCTTTTTTAAGTATAGCCACTGTTATGATAAAACAAAACAGTGGTTATATATAATTGCTTAAAAAAGATAAAACAAAAAATAGTCAAAATTTAGTTCACATATACAGTCAGTGGAATAACTTAAACAAGAGATTTTTATACGACCGCAAACAAAATTTTGTGGTCGTATATTGGTATGACGTTGGCGTCGTCGTTGTCGTCGTCGTCTTCGTCGTCGTTGTCGTCCGGCGTCGTCGTCCGAAGACACATTGGTTTTCGCACTCTAACTTTAGTTTAAGTGAATGGATCTCTATGAAATTTTACCATAAGGTTCAATACCACAAAAGGAAGGTTGGGATTGATTTTGGGGGTTATGGTACCAACAGTTAAGGAATTAGGGGCCCAAAAGGGGCCAAAAATAAGCATTTTTGTAACTTCCAGACATAACTTGTGTGTTAGTGTATGGATCTCTCTGACATTGTACCACAAGGTTCCATATCACAAAGGGAATGCTTGGATTGATTGGGGGTAATTGCCTCAAAATGTTTAGGAATTAGGGGCCAAAAAAGGGGCAAAACACAAGCATTTTTCTAGTTTCATGATAATAACTTGTGTGTAAGTGTATGGATCTTTTTGAAATTGTTCTACAAGGTTCCATATCACTAAAGGAGAGCTGGAATTGAGTTTGGGGGTAATTGCCCAAAATGTTTAGGAATAAGGGGCCCAAAAGGGGCCAAAAATAAGCATTTGTCTAGTTTCCAGACAATTACTTGTGTTCAAGTGTATGGATCTCTCTGAAATTGTACTGCAAGGTACCATACCACAAAGGGAAGGCTGGGATTGATTTTGGGGGTAATTGCCTCAAAATTTTTGGAATTAGGGGCCAAAAAGGGGCAAAAAACAAGGATTTTTCTAGTTTCATGACAATAACTTGTGTGTAAGAATATGGATCTTTCTGAAATTGTACTACAAGGTTCCATATCACAAAGGGAAAGCTGGGATTGAGTTTGGGGGTAATTGCCCAAAACGTTTAGGAATAAGGGGCCAAAAATAAGCATTTTTCTAGTTTCCAGACAATAACTTGTGTTCAAGTGTATGGATCTCTCTGAAATTGTACTGCAAGGTACCATACCACAAAGGGAAGGCTGGGATTGATTTTGGGGTTAATTGCCTCAAAATTTTAGGAATTAGGGGCCAAAAAGGGGCAAAAAACAAGGATTTTTCTAGTTTAATGACAATAACTTGTGTGTAAGTGTATGGATCTTCTGAAATTGTACTACAAGGTTCCATATCACAAAGTGAAAGCTGGGATTGAGTTTGGGGGTAATTGCCCAAAATGTATAGGAATAAGGGGCCGAAAAGGGGCCAAAAATAAGCATTTTTCTAGTTTCCAGACAATAACTTGTGTTCAAGTGTATGGATCTCTCTGAAATTGTACTGCAAGGTACCATACCACAAAGGGAAGGCTGGGATTGATTTTGGGGGTAATTGCCTCAAAATGTTTAGGAATTAGGGGCCAAAAAGGGGCAAAAAACAAGGATTTTTCTAGTTTCATGACAATAACTTGTGTGTAAGTGTATGGATCTTTCTGAAATTGTACTACAAGGTTCCATATCACAAAGGGAAAGCTGGGATTGAGTTTGGGGGTAATTGCCCAAAACGTTTAGGAATAAGGGGCCAAAAATGGGCCAAAAATAAGCATTTTTCTAGTTTCCAGACAATAAATTGTGTTCAACTGTATGGATCTCTCTGAAATTGTACTGCAAGGTACCATACCACAAAGGGAAGGCTGGGATTGAGTTTGGGGGTGATGAATCATAAGGGGGTTCAAAAAATTGGGGGGGATTTTTTTTCCCCCTTTTTTTTCTTTAAAATTTTCCATTTTAAATTGGTTTTTTCTGATTTATATATAAAAGCAAATAATAATGATATGGTTTGACAAAATGTTTGAATAGGTAAATTAAAATTTTTTAAGTTCTTAGACCACATTCATTCTGTGTCAGAAACCTATGCTGTGTCAAATATTTAATCACAATCCAAATTCAGTGCTGTATCAAGCTTGAATGTTGTGTCCATACTTGCCCCAACTGTTCAGGGTTCGACCTCTGCGGTCGTATCAAGCTGCGCCGCAACGGAGCATTTTATTAATTCAGCCATGCTGGATCTATGCGATCACTCTGTTTTTGGAGATGGTGCAGAATACTAAGTTGAAGACATGTCATGAAACTAATTATGTGTTTTTATGACTTGCAGAAACTTTCTACACCATTTTAATAATCAACTGCCAACTTTTGACATGTTATTTGCCCTTAAATTAAGAAAAGATTGGTCGAACAACCCTTTTATTTTAGATATACACTTGCATATAGTTCCTTTGTAAATCAAAATTTATAATGATTTACTATTTATGAATTAATTTGAAAAAGTATTTTTACATCAATTGAATCAGTTGATAACAATTTTGAAAGTATTATATTATTATCTTATGCTTGTGTAAGTTTTTGTTCTATGAAATTTAGGTCAACATGTGTGTTAATATATCTAAGTTGATTCCCACAATTTTTTGAAATGGTATTACAATGTACTCTAATTCTTTCCATAGGCAAGTAAGAGTCAGTATGATTATAAACTGTCATGATTTTCAAATAATTACACTCAAAGGTGTAAGTATTAATTGGAAACAACCCCAGTCTTAATTCACCACATTTAATATCTTCTGACCTGTCACATAATTAAATAGGCACAATTTATTACACACCTAACTGAATACACACGTTCTTGACCTCAATAGTAAACCTACAAATGTATTATTTATTTTGATCTACACTACATTAAAATATTCTGTTAATTTTGCTAGCTAGCTGAATGATTAATCAGGCATGGTTTTTTTTCAAAGAAAAGACAAAAAATGTAAAAATATGTATAAAAATGCAAGCAAATTTTATTTCACTTGTAAAATCATTGTCATCATCTGACATAAGTCAATAATCAAGATCTAATTAATTAGTTACAATTATCAGAAATTTGGTTGAAACAATAAACAAAATTGCATAACTCTTACCTGAGCATTTTCTGTAATAAAATTTATTTGTTTGTACTGCATTTAACAGTAATTGGAAATATCTCAGCATTAGGTATTTGTACATTTGAATTTGAATACAGGAAATGTATTTTTTTCTTAATGAAAAATGAACACCAATTTAGATAAAAAATAGTCATTATTTTTTTTCATTGTTGTTGTTGAGAAAGTGCATTTCCAAGGCCTCTTTCTGGAAATTATTAAGCCAGTTATTATTGATGGCATATAAAAAAATATATTACTTGTTTGACGATTTCCCTTTCCATTCATGTCAATACCATTAAATTGCAAATATTTATAAAAAAAAAATCTGACAGAGTCTAAAATTGAAATATCAATTATATATCATTATTTGCATCAATATTGCGAAATTCCCTACCTGTGGGCAATAACATAAAAATTTAACAGTAAGATTGGAAATGAAAAGAGAAAAAAATATTGAAAAAATATGGTCAGAAAGAATATCAGACTAGCTATGAATATGGCTGGATCACAACATCGACGATGCTTTGATTTATGCCCCCGCCGTAGTGGAGGGGGCATTAAGTTTTACCCTTGTCCATCTGAACATCCGTCAGTCTGTCCGTCCGTAGTTGGTTTCCGTTCTCTAACTTTAGTTTGCCTCAACCAAATGTTATGAAATTAAACTTATACACAATGCTTACTACCACAAAAAAAACAGATCAAGTGTGAATTTTGGTGGTGTCACTTTAATTGTTCCAGAGTTATGCCCATTTACAAATGGAAAAATTGCTGAATTTTTCGTTTCTTTTCTCCAACTTAAGTTTACCTCAATTAAATGTTATGAAACTTATACACAATGCTTTTTACCACAAAATACAGATCATGTTTGAATTTTGGTGGCGTCACTGTTACTATTCTAGATTTATGCCCTTTACAATGAAAAAATTGCTGAATTTTTAGTTTCCTTTCTCTAACTTAAGTTTGCCTCAACCAAAACTTATACACAATACTTATTACCACAAAACTCAGATGAAGTACAGATTTGGGTAGCGTCACTTTTACCGTTCTTCAATTATGTCCCTTTATAATTTTACATGATATGCAAGCAGGGGCATCATCTGTGTCCTATGGACACATTCCCCGTTTATTAATTACTTGTTTAAGAAGCATTTTTTATTCCTATAGGACATCTATTGGCAATTGTAAACACGTTGCATATTTAAAAAAATAAATATTGTTGAAAAGGAATAATCATGTCATGGTTTAGCTAGAAATAGGACACAGTGTGTTTATGTTGAGCTCCTTTTTTATAGAATTTTTGTATTATATCCAAATTTTGACTGAGCTTATGCAATTTTAAATGCTTTATACAAGTTTACTAGAATTTCCCAGACAGGAGCAGTTTTATTCCTGAAAACTTCAATATTTCAACTTTTAGGTTATGCAATAAAAAAGAATTGTTCTTGGTCAAAATTTTAGTGTTCTCAGTTGCTGAAAATAAAAAGGGTCAAATGAAGAAATAAAACTAAGTAAAGATTTATTTTTTAGCAGAAATTTACCATATATATAATACTACCCAAACAAGTGAATTTTACTTACTCATTTTAGTGATATAAGGTAGATAACTCTTATTTGCAATTATTCTTGACAAAAATGTACTCATCTGACAGATGTATATCATGGGTTTTTTTTCAAAAGTATAATCACATGAAAAAAAGTATGGATAACAGAGTTTTTCAAGCTACAGGTTAATTGTATATTGCCTGGCAACTTGGAAATTTGCTCTAAGATGAAAAAGGAATATTTGTCTCTTTATAAATTGGCAGCCAATGCAAAAGAGGAATAAGCCTTATCAACAATAGCATGAATGAATAGGTACATCTTAACAAAATGTCAAGCTTTAAATGAATCAGATTCCAAAAAGGTTGCAAATAAATTTAACAGACTATACTATAAAAAATGATATGCCATCAAGTTTGAAAGATATTCAATACTCCCTCCAGCAGTCATGCCCATGATAAAAACTACCCCGGTACTTAGAATTTTTTTTTGATTTTGATGGAAAGCATATTATCTTTGTAATACAATGTACACCGACATTAATCTTTTAGCAGTCATTCCCAAGGTCGCTGGACATTGTACATGTTGTACAAAGGCCAGTAAGAATTGGTTTGGTCCAGTTAAGTGATATGCATTACTGGACCAAATGACCAGTAAAATTTTCAATTTTGTCCAAATCATATGTGTAAATGTCCTGTAAAAAAGAGGCTGGTCCAGTTAAGACGAATGTTTTATTGGACCAAACGTCCAGTTGATTTCTCAAAGCCTTGGGAACTACTGGTTTTAGTGTTATTGAAAAGTGACAAATTTCTTTTATTTCAGAATAAAAAATGTCTGATTTATCAAATAAGTTTATCACTCAATCTGAAGTTGATGATAAAAGAAAAAAAAGACAAGAAGAATGGGAACAAAAACGAAGACCAGACGATCCTATAGGTATATTATTTTATTTCCATCTTGTCAAATATAATCTTTTTGAAGAAAAATAATGATGTTTTAATTTTTGTTTTGTTGTGTTGTATACTGACAGATCACCCCGACATCTCTTTTTTCATTTCACCTATCTCAGTGTAAGGTTATTTTGTGTCCATCATTTACCATCTCTGGTCTGGTGGTAGCTATTCTATGGAACTACTGGACCAAAGTTGTCTAGTTTCAAAATTATGTCAGATGTTCCTTCTGATCAACATACATGGCAGCTATAACTTAAAAATAGATCATAATCCTGAATACTGTAAATTCAGAAATTTTTGCGTGCATTTATTATTGCGATTTTTCAAAAGCTGACAAAAATGTGAGATTAATTATTGCGATTTTCGGAAAATCTTTATACACATCTATGAATCAGATTAAAGAATGCAAGTTCTTATTATTGCGATATTCACTCAGTCGCATTATTCGCATTAATAAAAACCTCGCAATAATTTCTGAATTCACAGTATAAAGTGTTGATTTCTACATTGGAAAACACCCCTCTCTAGTATTAAGCATCTAGGAAAATTGTCGTCAAACATGAGAAATATTTGTGTCTGTTAATCTGTGTTATTTTTGAACAGAATGTCCAGAAGCAGATAACAGGTCTCTGTATGATAAACTTCAGGAACAGAAGATGAAGAAGGATGAAGAATATGAAGAACAACACAAACTTAGTAAGATTATCTGAAATCTGAAATAATTCAGATCATCTGAAAAAAAATTAACTAAATGACACTAAGTAAGATCATCTGAAATCATCAGGTTAGATACTAGAATGTGTTGCATGCAAGGAATAAAATCATACATTGTAAGTTATGGTCACAAACTTAGTTCAACTTAATCATGTTAGTCATCCCTGTGTATATATATGTACAAATACTATTTCCACTCTCAAATTGGTAGTGAAACCAAGCAGCATTATTCACCACCACTAGAAAATGTGTTGCATAAAGGAAGAATGCCATACATTGAAGGACATGGTCAAAAACTTCATTCAACTAAATCAACCCTAAAATTCATTCTGGTCTCTAACTTTAAAACCTATTAGAGTTTTGGGATGAATTAGTTAAGTTTCTACCTTTTGTTGTTTAAATGAAACAACTTTGTCGTTTGATTGCTTCTAAACTTGCGTTACAGTTCACTTGTTTAGATGCAGTGGTTCTCCATGATGGCTTATATTACTATCCCTTAGTTGCTTCGTGGGATCCCACTATCAAAGTTGTTCTTTAGATATGTAAGAATTTTTTACATTATTTTTCATTAATGATTTCTTTGTTCAAACTGAAGTCAAATTTTTCCTCCACTTGTGAAGTAAAATGTCCAGCATCTGATCAGTGTTGTCTGGTCAATTTACAACACATTTGCCAATTGCTAATTTCTGTTTACAATTTCTATGATAAATATACACAGCAGTAATTTTTACACAGTAGAAAGAGTGTGTTTAATCAAAGCATTACTTTTAAAGTCTAGCAGTAAGTCAATTCTAAATTACCGGTAGTCTAGATAAAACACTGTAGTTTTGCTACATCCACACATTGCAGGTTTTAAAAGTACCTTATCATAATACTTTGAGTCCTTGAGGTTAATACAATAACCCCCCATGCATTAGTAGTTTTGTTTGTGTTTTGTTAAAACATTGATCTTTATTAGTCCCCTACCGACGGAGTAGAAGGGGACTTTAGGTTTGCACTCCGTCCGTCTGTCTGTCTGTCCTTCTGTCAGTCCGGCAAATCAGCTTTCCACACTTTTTTCTTCGTTCTTGAAGATATTGATTTGATATTTAGTATAAGATATAGATATTTTTTTTTTTATTTCCAATTATGGGCCCCAAAGGGCATAAACATTACAACATCAATAGTATATACCGGTAGTATTATCATGACAAGTTATAGATCAAGTTCAAATTTTGTTCCGGTCTGATGATTTAATCCAGAGTTATGGACCATAACTCTGGACCACATCTAATGTTAGAGTACTATGTTAAACCATATTTCTGTACAAAGGGAGATAACTAATTTTTTAAAAGACATTCTTTGTTCAATTATTTGAAGAATTTTTTGGCAGGTTTGTTAGTTATTTAGTATAAACTAATTTTCTGAATGCTATATATATAAAAAAAAAATTATGAAGAGAAATCCTTTAATTAGATAATAATCTATTTTTATTATGTATATATTTCAATACATTACATTGTGTAGATAAAAGTTGTTGACATTTTATAGATAAGTTACAAATCTATATTAATTTGTTACAAATGAAAGAAAAAATATTTGGAACTATTAATTATATTTGATTATAATTTGAAAATAGATATACACTGTATTACATCATATCTAATTTTAGAGAACTATTAATCATATCTAATGTTTTTTTCATCATGCTTATACGATATTGATTGGTATATAGTTTTATCATGACAAGTTACAGATCAAGTTCAAATTTTTGTTTCGGTCTAATAATTTTGTGCAGAGTTATGGTCCTTTGACTTGAAAAAATCACTCATATAATCAGTTTTCCACACTGTTTTTAGTCATGCTTGAAGATATTGACATGATATTTACTTTTTGTTTACACCATGGCAAATTATATAACAAATTAGCATTTTGTTCCAGTATAATGAATTTTTACCCGGTAGGGGACTATGTATTGCCATGCAATACTCTCAGAAAGCTTGTTTCATTTGTAGTAGATGTTATTGTTGAATATATTATTGTCTGTAATTGGATCACGCCTATATTGTGCTCTTTCCATTAAAATATTGAATTGTTAAAAAAAGAAATTTCACATTTGTTTTTCAATTTGTTCATTTTATATTTGTTTCATGCAGAAAACAGTGTAAAGGGGTTAAATGAAGATGAAGCTCATTTCCTAGAATTTGTGTCAAACAAACAAATTGAGATAGAAAAGGCTAGGTCTGAAGAAGAGAAATCTATATTCAAAGAAATAAAGGTTTGTATCTCAGTATCTATGGGATCAGTTTTTGTGGCTGTATAATGTGATGGCCTCTTCGTCCTCATCCAAAGACATTTGGTTTCCAGACAATAACTTGAGTATAAGTGTATGGATCTTGTTGAAATTGTACCACAAGGTTCCATACCACAAAAGGAAGGTTGAGGTTGATTTTACGGGTTATTGTCAAAACTGTTTAGGAACAAGGGGCCAAAAAGGGGTAAAGAACAAGCATTTTACTTGTTTCAGGACATTACCTTCTGTATAAGTATATGAATCTATATGCAATTGTACAACAAGGTTCTTTATCCCGAAAGGAAGGTTGGAATTGATTTTGGGGTTATGGCCTAAACCATTTAGGAAATAGGGACAAAAAAGGGGACAAAAACAAGGATTTTCTGGTATCTAGACAATAACTTGAGTATAAATCTATGAATCTGTATGAAATTGTACCACATGGTTTCAAACCAAAAAAAGAAGGTTGGGATTCATATGGGGGGTTATGGCCCTAACCGTTTAGGAATTACGGACCAAAAACAATACTTTTCTAATATCTTGTATAAATTGCTTATTTCTTGACCAATTTCAATGGGTTTTAATTCAAAGTCTTGAATTCTTGTGGTTCTTTAATATGCTGAATCTTACCGTGTATTTAGATTTTTGGAATTTGGGCCCCATTTTTGAATTGGTTAACATTAAGGTCCAAAGGGTCCAAAATTGAAGTTTGTTTAATTTCATCAAACATTGAATTATTGGGGTTCTTTGATATGCCAAATCTAACTGTGTATTTAGACTTTGGATATTGGTCTTTAATAGGTAAATGTCCTATTTCAAATTATTAAGTGCTTGGACGACATTCATTCTGTGTCAGAAAACTAATTAATCTCTCATTTTATTTTTACCATACTTCACAAATTGCAATAATAAACGCATGCAATAATTTCTTAATTTACAGTTTGTTAAACCTATCCCATGGCAATTTTCACAATAATAAAAAATTGCAAAAATTTCTGAATTGACAGTATATGATCATATAATATGTAAGTGGGATACAACTGAGAATTTATTATTATTTCTTAAAAATATAATTGCATGAAGGCCGTACGGCGACCTATAGTTGTTAATTTCTGTGTCATTTGGTCTCTTGTGGAGAGTTGTCTCATTGGCAATTTTTTATAAATCTTTATTTAAATGTCAGCATTTATGCACAACACATTTCTATGATATTATTACGTGAGTATTTCTGTATTGGCCTTGTTATTGGTCCGAGGCTTGCTGTATTGGCCTGAGGCGAAGCTGACGGCCAATACAGCTGGCCGAGGACCAATAACAAGGCCAATACAGAAATACACGTAATAGTATCTTTATTAATTAACTACAGTGTTACAATATTTTTTTTATTTCATTTCACAAGAGATAAACATTTTTATCTTGAAGTGGAACTATCAAAATCTCAGTTTCTTTTTATAAGATGCAATATCTAATGATCTGGTGCCGTTTCCAGGTGTCTTCAGCATTTTCTCATCTGATGAATTTTTCTACCCTTTCCAGTCACTATAAAGTGTTATAATTTAAATTTAGACACAACACATAAATAGTAATTGGAAAGGTACTGCCATTGCATGTGTTATGTAGAAACAAATTGAATATATTTAAAAAAAAATAATGTTGGAGTTGAAAATGATACAACTATCCATAAGCCAACTGACCAAAGAACGAAGATTTGCACAATTACAGGTCACCCCTCCAGAATGCATATGCCTGGTTCGGGTTTAAAAATAAATGACAGTTTACAAAACATGAGAAGCGAAAGTAAACATTAAATCGATTTGTACCATCGTGAAATTATGAGGTCGACAAGAAATGAACTTTGTGATAATCTACTCGTTCCCCAAACCTGAAATAATTCCATCGTCTGCTTTCAAAATGCTTTTTAAATGAATGTGACCGTCTTTAGCCTGAAATATATTGCCATACTGAACGTTTCAGCATGTTTATGGTGAGTAAATGAAAACTGCGTCTTCCAAACAACTGTTTACTTTCAGTTTGTGTTTATCGTGACTTTCGATCTAAAAACTAGAGACGTTCCGAAATCCTGTATTGGCCGGATCAGAACTCGGCCAATACAGAAAAAAAATCTATATTGGCCGAGTTATTCTGTATTGGCCGAGTTGACACCTTTATAATGCATAGGCAGTTTTCATCATATTAAGTATTAAGTCCAATAACAGTGTAGTTAATTAATAAAATGAAATACGGACTATTCATGAATAACTTGGTCAGGAGGAGATAACTTGGTTTAAGTTGCTCAATTTAGGGGAGATAATTTAACTGGTTTTGAGCATATGTCACTAAATGTACATTTTTTTAATGAAGTATTTAGAAAACAAGGAGGAGTAACTACATTTTCCTTTTTATACGACTGCAAAAAAATTTTGCGGTCGTATATTGGTATGATGTTGGCATTGTTGTCGTCCGAAGACACATTAGTTTTCGCACTCTAACTTTAGTTTAAGTGAATGGATCTCTATGAAATTTTACCAAAAGGTTCAATACCACAAAAGGAAGGTTGGGATTGATTTTGGGGGTTATGGTACCAACAGTTAAGGAATTAGGGGCCAAAAATAAGCATTTTTGTAACCTCCAGACATAACTTGTATGTTAGTGTATGGATCTCTCTGACATTGTACCACAAGGTTCCATATCACAAAGGGAATGCTGGGATTGATTTTGGGGGTAATTGCCTCAAAATTTTAGGAATTAGGGGCAAAACACAAGCATTTTTCTAGTTTCATGACAATAACTTGTGTGTAAGTGTATGGATCTTTCTGAAATTGTACTACAAGGTTTCATATCACAAATGGAAAGCTGTGGAATTGAGTTTGGGGTAATTGCCCAAAACGTTTAGGAATAAGTGGCCAAAATTAAGCATATTTCTAGTTTCCAGACAATTACTTGTGTTCAAGTGTATGGATCTCTCTGAAATTGTACTGCAAGGTACCATACCACAAAGGGAAGGCTGGAATTGATTTTGGGGGTAATTGCCTCAAAATTTTAGGAATAAGGGGCCAAAAAGGGGCAAAACACAAGCATTTTTCTAGTTTCAAGACAATAACTTGTGTGTAAGTATATGGATCTTTTTTGAAATTGTACTACAAGGTTCCATATCACAAAGGGAAAGCTTGAATTGAGATTGGGGGTAATTGCCCTAAATGTTTAGGAATTTGGGGCCAAAAAACAAGCATTTTTCTAGTTTCCAGACAATAACTTGTATTCAAGTGTATGGATCTCTCTGAAATTGTACTGCAAGGTACCATACCACAAAGGGAAGGCTGGGATTGAGTCTGGGGGTGATGAATCATAAGGGGGTTCAAAAAATTTGGGGGGATTTTTTTTTCATTTTTTTTCCTTTAAAATTTTCCATTTTAAATTGGTTATTTCTGATTTATATATAAAAGCAAATAATAATGATATGGTTTGAATAGGTAAATTAAAATTTTTTAAGTTCTTAGACCACATTCATTCTGAGTCAGAGACCTATGCTGTGTCAAATATTTAATCACAATCCAAATTCAGTGCTGTATCAAGCTTGAATCTTGTGTCCATACTTGCCCCAACTGTTCAGGGTTCGACCTCTGAGGTTGTATCAAGCTGCGCCGAGCGGAGCATTTTATTGATTATTTAAAACTAGTAGACATTAAAATGTACAATGATTAATTTTACCAATAAACGAAGTTTGAAATTCATGTTTCATGTAAATGTAAGTATTGCAACATGTTTTTTTGTTTCAGGAAAATAAAGCAAAATCTATTTTTATGCCCCCGCTGTAGCGGAGGGGGCATTAAGTTTTACCCTTGTCCGTCTGTATGTATGTACGTACGTACGTCCCAAAATTGGTTTCCGTTCTCTAACTTTAGTTTGCCTCAACCAAATTTTATGAAACTTATACACAATGCTTATTACCACAAAACACAGATCAAGTTTGAATTTTGGTGGCGTCACTTTTACCGTTCTAGAGTTTTGCCCCTTTACAAATGGAAAAATTGCTGAATTTTATTTTCTTCTAAATATCAATTAATTTTTAAAATTGGAGTTATCTTCCTTTGTCCATGATTATAGTTGAATCAACTACAATCAATGCTTTATACAATGCAATGTATAATTTTGACTTCCACTGATAAAACACAGATCAAGTTGAATTTGGGTAGTGTCACTTTAACCAGTATTGAGTTATGCCCCTTTATAAATCGAAAGATTGCAAAATTTTTAGTTTCCATTCTGTAACTTAAGTTTGCCCCAACCAAACATTATGAAACCTATACACAATATTCATTACCACAAAACTAAGATCAAGTACACATTTTTTGTTTCCGTTTTCTAACTTTAGTTTGCCTCAACCAAATGTTATGAAACTTATACACAATGCTTATTACTACATAATACAGATTAAGTACGAAATTTGGTGGCGACACTTTTACCATTCTTGAGTTATGTCCCTTTATAAACATAAAAATTGCTGAATTTTTCGTTTCCTTTCTCTAACTTTAGTTTGTATCAACCAAATGTTAAAAAACTTAAACACAACCGTTCTAGAGTTATGCGTGTTTACAAATAGAAAAATTGCTGAATTTTTAGTTTCTGTTCTCTACTTAAGTTAGCCTCAACCAAGTGTTATGAGACTTACACACAGCATAGTGTCACTTGACCTTTCTTCAGTTATGTCCCTTTATTACTTTATGATATGCAAGCAGGGGCATCATCTGTTTCCACATGTGGACACTATCCACATTTATTCATACATATGTTACTACCTCTCTACATAGACGATGGTATCAGTGATATTTTTGTACTGTGTATTTGCTTAATCTAAATCAGTTGCATTGTTTTACAGGAATCTTCAGTATCTGCAGTACAACCCTCATCATCACAGGAGAAAAAGTCTACCAAAGCTGCTGTACAAACAAATAAAAGATCACAAACATCACTTTTGGCAGGGGCAGTCAAGAGAAAGGGGTACAAACTTCATCAGCACTATATTAAAAATTATCATTTATAATAGAATGAAGTAGCCATGCACTGTTCCTGAAGGAAGGAGAGGGGGTCATATGAATATGCAATTTTTAAATTACTAAAAAAACACTTTAACCAATTTTCATGAAACCTTGGTGAATTGTTTTTATGCCCCACTTAGGGGCATTATGTTTTTTGGTCTGTGCGTCAGTTTATTCATCTGTCTGTTCATCCGTCTGTCCCGCTTCAGGTTAAAGTTTTTGGTCAAGGTAGTTTTTGATGAAGTTGAATTCCAATCAACTTGAAACTTAGTACACATGTTCCCTATGATATGATCTTCCTAATTTTAATGCCAAATTAGAGTTTAGACCCCAATTTTACGGTCCACTGAACATAGAAAATGAAAGTGCGAGATGGGCATCCGTGTTCTATGTATACATTCTTCTTTCTATTGATTTAAGCTCCCTTTCGATTTTTATCAATATAAGTTTTTATGTTCCCGAGTTATGGGATTTTATTCATAAAATGGGTGATTTTCCAGTTTTTTTACTATACCAGTAATTCAAAAATGCTTTAAATAATTTTTATTAAACTTTGGTGAATTGCTTATATCTATTGAATAAGTTCCCGTTCTATTTTTTAAAATTTCTGATTTTACATTTTTGAGTATTGGGCTTTAATTCATAAAAAAGTGGAGTTTTTCCAGTTTTCAGACAATAACTCAAAAATGCTTTGAGCAGTTTTCATGAAACTTTGGTGACTGGTTTATATGTTTTTAAATAAGCTCCCTTTAGTTTTTATAAGTTTCTGATATGACATTTAGGAGTTATGGAACTTTATTCATTGAAAAAGTGACAGGCATATCATGCGCTCATGGCGAAGCTCTTTATTGAAAAGAAAAAGAGATGGGAGAACTGAACTTGTTTTAATCAAAACCAAGTGGCTCGCTGGTAAAAAAGCAGTAGTTTAAATATATTATATTTGGTTAGATATGCAAAAGGGATGAGACACGATTTATGCTTATAAAGTCTTTTCCCATGGACTATTTATAACAGTAGAATATTTACAACGCATGCATGCAAACAATACAATAATTATATATATTGTAATTAGATATTTAAAAATGAAGGTGTGTGATGATGTGAATGATTGTACACATATGCACATTATTGTGCTATATTATACAGTTTAGAAACCTGTAAAAAAGGCAATGCTGTATTAAAACTTTTGCTAGTATTTATATTGTGTAATAATAGTTCCTGTTGTTATACTAGTTTAATGCTGGAATCATAAATTGCAGATAATATGTAAACAGCTTATTTCAGTAATATACTGGTAGACAGTGAATGACTTATTCAGTGAAATATTAACTATTGAATTATATAGAAAAAAACTTTTTATGTTTTACAGAACAAGTGAAAATGAAGATAGTAACAAAAGAAAAAGTATTGACAGTGAGTATTGTTTAGACCAAGCTACAGTAATAATGTGACATAGGCTAAAAGTTTTTTTTTTTAAATCTATCATGTCTTTGCCTCATTTGAAGAAATCAGCTACATATAGAGGTACAGACGTATGCAGATATAACATAACTAAATGAAAAGTTAATGCTTTAATCATTTATCATTATCATGTTTTTAATTTAATGTAAATGGATATAAAAAAAGAAGATGTGGTATTACTGCCAATGAGACAACTATCCACCAGAATTCATATTACATTGACATTAGCAATTATTTGTCATTGTACAGCCTTCAACTATGAGAAAAATCCATACTGCATACTACGCTTTGAAAGGCCCAGACATTGTTTACTTTCCTATGACTAACACACGAAAACAAGAGTATGTTTGGTGTCCGCTCAAGGACATGCCTGGTTTCTGTTAATTGATTAAATTACTATTTACATTAATAGTAGAAATTGTGCAATTTATTACACTGATATATCTGTATGCTGCTATAAAGCCATGTTCTAAAAACACAAATTAGTCATAAACAAACATAACTACATTTGGAAAGGCTTCCACCCAAAGCATGAATGACCTTTTTTTAGGTGCATAACTCTATTGTGAAGATCAATAAATTAAATGTAAATTTACTACAACTATATTCACATCATAACATGACAATGACACAACATTTTCTTGGCACTTTAGGCATTGATCATAAAGTATTTGTGCAATTTCCTCTCATTTCAATTTCGATTATTGATACACCATCACACACAGCAAACCATGACCTTGCCATTCATGTATTTTACACCAAAATAAAGATGTGTGTGGGTATGATACAAAGTCAAAAAGACAATATAAATGATTTTTTTATACGACCGCAAAAAAATTTTGCGATCGTATATTAGCATGACGTTGGTCGTCGTCGTCGTCGTTGTCCGAAGACACATTGGTTTTCGCACTCTAACTTTAGTTTAAGTCAATGGATCTCTATGAAATTTTACCATAAGGTTCAATACCACAAAAGGAAGGTTGGGCTTGATTTTAGGGGTTATGGTACCAACAGTTAAGGAATTAGGGGCCAAAAAGGGGCCAAAAATAAGCATTTTTGTAACTTCCAGACATAACTTGTGTGTTAGTGTATGGATCTCTCTGACATTGTACCACAAGGTTCCATATGACAAAGGGAATGCTGGGATTGATTTTGGGGGTAATTACCTCAAAATTTTAGGAATTAGGGGCAAAAAAAGGGGCAAAAAACAAGCATTTTTATATGGACAAATACTTTAGTACAAAACATAATTTAAAGCAGTGTAAGGGAGATAAATCAAATACATCATTTGAATTACCTCCCTTACACTGCTTTTAAATTATGTATAAAGTAATGGTTAATGAACAATTAAGACAATTTAAAACAGTGTAAGGGAGGTAATCCACATACAACGTTTTGATTACTTCCCTTACACTGCTTTTAAATTATGTTTAAAGAAATGCATATTTATAAAGGAAGACCAGTAAAAATATCTGCAAATGTTGCATCTTTTTTTTTTACAAAAAAATACATATGAAAGATTTGACACCATATTTTAAATTCTATTATAAAATAGATAAAGTTAGCTATATGGTAAATTTAAATGGGTAATTATGGTTGCAAATTCCATTGGAAATTTGAATTGAGATTATGACCATATCTTGAGGGAAAGAATTTTTTGGGGGAAGGGGGGGGGGGGGGGGGGGGGGGTAAAAAGAAATTGTGGGGGTCAATTTTTAGCTCACCGGGCTTCGGGCCCCATGTGAGCTTATGCCATCACTTGGCGTCCGTCGTCGTCGTCGTAAACTATTTCAAAAATCTTCTCCTCTAAAACTACTGGGCCAAATACCTTCAAACTTTAACTAAATGTTCCTTAGGGTATCTAGTTTATAAATTGTATCCGAAGTTTTGATCCATCGACAAACATGGCCGCCATGGGTAAAAATAGAACATAGGGGTCAAATGCAGTTTTTGGCTTATATCTCAAAAACTAAAGCTTTTAGAGCAAATCTGACATGGGGTAAAATTTTTCAATTGGTCAAGACCTATCAGTTCTGAAATTTTCAGACGAATCGAACAACCCATTGTTGGGTTGCTGCCACTGAATTGGTAGTTTTAACAAAATTTTGCAGTTTTTTGTTATTATTTTGAATATTATTATAGATATATAAAAACTGTAAGCAGCAATAATGTTCAGCAAAGTAAGATCTACAAAAAAGTTAATATGACCATAATTGTCAATTGACCCCTTAAGGAGTTATTGCCCTTTAAAGACAATTTTACACAATTTGTTCATCAAGTTTGCTTACATTTAAAAATCTTCTCCTCTGAAACTACTGGGCCAATTACCTTCAAACTTTAACTAAATGTTCCTTAGGATATCTTGTTTATAAATTGTATCCGAAGTTTGTATCCATTGACAAACATGGCCATAATGGCTAAAAATAGAACATAAGGGTCAAATGCAGTTTTTGGATTATATCTCAAAAACTAAATCTTTTAGAGCAAATGTGACATGGGGTAAAATTGTTTAATTGGTCATGATCAATCGACCCTGAAATTATCAGACAATCGAACAACCCATTGTTGGGTTGCTGCCACCGAATTGGTAGTTTTAACAAAGTTTTGCAGTTTTTTGTTATTATTTTGAATATTACTATAGATATATGTAAACTGTAAGCCGCAATAATGTTCAGCAAAGTAAGATCTACAAAAAAGTTAATATGACCAAAATTGTCAATTGACCCCTTTAGGAGTTATTGCCCTTTAAAGACAATTTTACACAATTTGTTCATCAAGTTTGCTAACATTTAAAAATCTTCTCCTCTGAAATACAGGTGAGCGATTCAGGCTCTTGAGAGCCTCTTGTTTCTCATTTCAGTTTTCAGAAATTAAAAAGAATTATTCTTCAAATATTATTTTTTTTTCAAATTTCAAATATTGAAAAATTTCAAGAAGTAATCTTTAATTCCACAGTATGGCCCATTAGATTTGTAAAATCTTTGACCACATTTATTTATTTGTTATGCCAAATCTGACTGTGTATTTTGATTTTTAATTTTGGGTCCAGTTTTCAAATTGATCTACATTAAGATCCAAAGGGTCCAAAATTAAACTTAGTTTGATTTTAACAAAAATTGAATATATGGGGTTCTTTGATATGCTGAATCTAAACATGTATTTAGATTTTTGATTTCGGGCCCAGTTTTCAAGTTGGTCCAAATTGGGGTCCAAAATTAAACTTTGTTTGATTTCAACCAAAATTGAATATATGGGGTTCTTTGATATGCTGAATCTAACCATGTATTTAGATTTTTTATTTGTGGGCCCCGCTATCAAATTTGTTCATATTGAGGTCAAAAGGGTCCAAAATTAAACTTTGTTTTATTTCATCAAAAATTGAATTATTGGGGTTCTTTGATATGCCAAATCTAACCCTGTATTTAGATTTTTAATTTTGGGTCCAGTTTTCAAATTGGTCTAAATTAAGGTCCAAAGGGTCCAAAATTAAACTTAGTTTGATTTTAACAAAAATTGAATATATGGGGTTCTTTGATATGCTGAATCTAAACATGTATTTAGATTTTTGATTTTGGGGCCCAGTTTTCAAGTTGGTCCAAATTGGGGTCAAAATTAAACTTTGTTTGATTTCAACAAAAATTGAATATATGGGGTTCTTTGATATGCTGAATCTAACCATGTATTTAGATTTTTTATTTGTGGGCCCCGCTATCAAATTGGTTCATATTGAGGACAAAAGGGTCTAAAATTAAATTTGTTTTATTTCATCAAAAATTGAATTATTGGGGTTCTTTGATATGCCAAATCTAACCCTGTATTTAGATTTTTAATTTTGGGTCCAGTTTTCAAATTGGTCTACATTAAGGTCCAAAGGGTCCAAAATTAAACTTAGTTTGATTTTAACAAAAATTGAATATATGGGGGTTCTTTGATATGCTGAATCTAAACATGTATTTAGATTTTTGATTATGGGCCCAGTTTTCAAGTTGGTTCAAATTGGGGTCCAAAATGAAACTTTGTTTGATTTCAACAAAAATTGAATATATGGGGTTCTTTGATATGCTGAATCTAACCATGTATTTTGATTTTTGGGCCCCATTATCAAATTGGTCCACATTGAGGTCAAAAGTGTCCCCAAAATTAAACTTTGTTTAATTTCATCAAAAATTGGATTCTTTGGATTCTTTGATCTGCTGAATCTAACCATGTATTTAGATTTTGGATATTGGACCATAATAGGTAAATTAAAAAATTTTAAGCTCTTAGACCACATTCATTCTGTGTCAGAAACCTATGTTGTGTCAAATATTTAATCACAATCCAAATTCAGAGCTGTATCAAACTTGAATGTTGTGTCCATACTTGCCCCAACTGTTCAGGGTTTCGACCTCTGCGGTCGTATCAAGCTGCGCCCAGCGGAGCATTTTATTTTAAATACTGTTTTCACAATGGATAAAAATTGTCTATCTTCGTTTACTTCCATCATCAAATTCCTGTATCCATGTGCTGTATTGAGTAAGGGAAACATGCTTAAGTTCACTGTAGCTTTTCTATTAAATGCCATTTATCATTACTATTTATCTTATTATTTCAGATAAAGAACCTGAATCCAGTAGCAATACAGGGGCAATAAATACCATTGCAAGGGAGCAGTTGTTGAATCAAAGGGCCAAAATTATTGGTGTTTTACCAGGACTCGGTGCTTATGATAATGATACAAGTGATTCTGAAACATCTAGTAGTGACTCTGAATGTGATTTCAGTATACAGAAAAAAGTTAAGATTCAAATCAATACACAGTGATTAGTTTTGACAGTTATCAATTTTTGAAATGTTCCACATGGTTCCAAATTTACACCAGTGGTTTAAAATTTATAAACAGCCTAATATTAAAGGACAAGCTGTTTTGTTTCTTTATCTGAACCATTCTTATATGCAAAGAATATGAAGCACTTGTTCAGATTTCAGTGAAATAGAAAACGTTAGCCACCACCAGACAAAAATGGTTATGAATAGTTGACATTGTTTACAGTTCAACTTATACTGACTGTTGCATGTTAATTTTAATTGTTAAAACATAAATTATTTGATCATTAAATGTTTTAATATTTATTTTTAATCGTTTGCATGGTAAATGGTGTTTTTTTTTTTTTTTATATTATATGATAAAATAAGGAGATGTTGTATGATTGTGAATGAGACAACTATCCACAAGAGCTAAAATGGTATGGATTTCAGCAAGTAACTATAGGTAACTGTACAACTTCAACAATGATCAAAACCCATACTGTTTAGTCAGCTATCAAAACCCATACTGTTTAGTCAGCTATCAAAACCCATACTGTTTAGTCAGCTATCAAAAGCCCCAAAATGAAAAAATGTGAAACAACCAAGGACCTGATTTATGAAAAAACAATAAGAAAAATACAATATTTTAAAGACAACCACTGAATTACAGGCACATATTGAATGATGTGAGGTTAATCATGTTTGTGATCTCTCAACCATATGCTAACCTGGGACAGTGGTATAACAGAACATAAGAATAAACTGTAAAAATCAGTTGGAAGCACAAAAAAAACAACTAGTATAAAGACAAAAGACACAGAGTACTGATCTCAAAGTACTCACAGTTATTGAAAGCTTTTTCAAATTAATAACAACTAATAAATAACTCATGTTCTCCCAGACCAAAGTATGAATCAGTACACAACACAACCAACAGATATAGTGTAATGAGATCATAAACAGTCTGAGAAAAAACATAACCTTGTGCAATGCCAAAATAAAAAAATACCGACAGGATGAAGAACCATAAGTTTGCATAATTGTATAGCAATACATATTTAGTTATGTGTCAATTTAACAGAAACAAAATCAATGTTACTACTGATAAAAACAATATTCAAAGATCTTAATACTGTTTCCTGATCTTTGATACTATAAGCAATAGATCAACTGTATTTGGTTTATTGAATGATTGTAAGGTGTACAACTGCAAATCCAACTTGCAGATTTTATCTGACCTTGGCCTCATTTTCATGATTCATTGGTCAATGTTAAGTTTTCATGTTTGGTCTGTTTCTCAGTTACTAAAAGCTATAGGTAATCTATATTTGGATTTGGTGTATTAAAGGATTGTAAGGGGTACATGTTTGATTGGCAGGTTTCATCTTACCTTGACCTTATTTACATTGATCATTGATAATGTTAAGTTTATGTGATACTTGTAGTAAAGCCTTTATCTTAAAGACTTTCAACATCAATTCAATCAGGATCAGTTAAATAGCTGAGACATTTCAGCTTGTGCACTCTTATTAAACTAATTTAAATTTTTCATTTAAGGATATACAAGTTGAACTATGAGCTATTGCTCACAAATGATATCCCCGCTATAAGAATTCTGTTAACACTAATTTGATTGATTGATTGATTGTTGGTTGCTTAACGTCCAGTGGCAAATATTTCATGCATATTCAAGACGATAACACTAATTTGATGGGTGATGGATGTGAAAACACATCACACAGTATACCATACTCAAACAAAGCTTGATATTAGATTTTATGTTACTCTGATTCTTAGTTCAAGAGAAAAATGTGATGAAAAAAATTTCATACATGGCTATTATGTGCAAGAATATATTAGAAATAAATTAATAAGTATTTGGTTGTGATGAGGGATGAATACGAAAAGGCATCACACAGTATAGCATGCTCACTTGCTATCCGATACCAAATTTCAGGAAGTTCCTGAGAATGGATTTAATACATTGAACCAATGAACCATAAAAATGAGGTCAAGGTTAGATGAAACACACCAGACAACATGTACACATGAAATTGTTCCATACATCAAATATAGTTGACATATAGCTTATAGTATCTGAAAAACAGCCATAACCCTTAAATATTAACATTGACTTATGAACCATAAAATGAGGTCAAGGTTAGATGAACCCTGCCAGACAGACATGTACACCTTGCTGTCTTTCCATACACCAAATGTAGTTGACCTTTTGCTTATAGTGTCTGAGAAACCGACCAAACTACAAAAATTTGAAATTGGCAAATGAACCATGAATATGAGTTCAAGGTCAGATGAAACCTGGCAGTCAGCCAAGCATACATTACAATCATTCTATACCCTAAATAGTTGACCTATTGCTTATAATATATGAGATGCAGACTTGACCATGAAAACTTAACCTTCATCACTGATCCATGAACCCTGTCTGACGGACATGTTGACCTTGCAAGGACCCTATATACCAAATATAGTTATCCTGTTACTCATAATAAAGTTGGGTTTTTTCAAGCAGTTGCTGAACGATGAAAATGAGGTCAAGGAGAATAGACATTTGACATACAGAAACTTTGTATCTGCATTCAAGGTATGAAGCATCCAGGTCTTCTTCCTTCTGATATATAAAGCTTTATACAAATAATTAATGCGCCAGATAGTAATCCTAGTGTCCCTCATTCTGCAATAGTCTCAGAATAGACAAAAATTTAGGGATGAACTCAGGTGCTCCTGAAGGGTAATCAGTTCCTACTGAGGATAACTAGAGACTTAAGGAGCCTGGATGTATATTGCCCAAATTAATAAAAACTAAAATTTTTTGGTATGTCTCGATTTTTGGCTGAAAAATTAAACCAAAAATATTTGGAGTGGGCTCCACAGAACCCTGTATATCGTCTGTGATTGCTACTGTAAACGTAAAAGTCTAATACTGACTGCCAAAAAATAAGTTCATTTATCAGTAAAAAAAATTCTGTTTAAGTTTTGTAAAAATTCCATGATATAAAGTTTTTGATGCAGTTAAAATTAAATCCAGACATATATGTGTAAATTTTAACTGAAAAATAAATTAAGTCTGCTTTTGCTCTGGAAAATGTATTTTTATCACGAAGAGATATCTTTCGAAGTTTTTAAGAATTCTATGAAGGTTTGATAAAGTTATTGATGTCAAAAAACCTTACACTGTATCTAAATGTCAACTGCCAAGAAAAACTATTATAGTCCACTTATCAGTAAAATACTTAATAATGATGAAGAAAAAACTCTGGATACAGTCTTTTAATCAAATAAAATCTTCTGCCCAAGTTTCTTAAACTTCCATGAAGGTTTGACAAAGTTGTTGATGTATATTGAATACTTACTATACAGACAGAACCTTAATTTTGATGACACTGACGTTTGAACATAGGATCCCCATTATGTTACTTCCAGGACTTTCATTACAGGCTTAACAAAGCAAATTTCAGACAATGATAATATAAAGGACTTTTTCCTTACATTGTGATTGGTAAGAAAATAATAATAAAACAATATAAATTGGTGCCTGTGAAGTTTAGAATTTTTAATTACTTTTTTTTAGAAATTGACATGAGAAATGTAATCTTCATTATAAATAATCAATAACCGCTAGAAAAAAAAGTATCGCACGTTTATATTACTACCACGTGGTCTTTACCGCTGCTTGTTGAATGTCAGTCCACGCGGATACAAGAAGTCAGTGCTTCAGTACACTTTGACTGCATAATCTTACTAAGGCTGAACATATGGCAAAATTTGGGGTTATTTGCTAATTTGCATAGCGGCCATTTTGCCTTATCATGACGGCAGCCATTACAATAGGATTATATAAGCCCTTTTTATAAAAATGCCAATATGCAAGTACCTATGTCGAATGAACAATTTGTTCGCATATAGGTGAATTGTACATGTTTTAGGCTTCTGTCCGTGTACAAATGGACATTGTCTACTCTGAAATCTTTCGGCCTTTTTAGTTTAAAAATCGGAAGCGTAACCATTGTGTAATTGCTATATAAGATCAAATAAAATGACGTTAAATCGTGAAATATCAAGATTCGAAACAGAAATACACATGCAAGAAGATATTGTTCATGATTTGTTCGCATATAGCCTTTTATAGGGAAACACCTTGTAGGTTGAATTTTAAAGTTAAATAACTTTTAACTTACCTGCTTTCTTAAGTTTTCGGCCAAATTCTTTTAAAAACATGATGATTTCAACCTTCCCATTTCGTAAAAAGTCAAATTTTAAGCATTTTCCCTTAGAATTACACAGCATTTTTGTAAATATCCGCCAAAGAAAGTTTTTAAAGATACATTAGTTTTAGATATATGACGGAAAAGGACTGGATTATCCGCAAATCTATAATAAATTATATTTTCAATCTTGGGCTAAGGGAAGTAATTTGATCAAAAGGGACAAAGTCACGTGGTGCAAATGATTTAAATAAAAGTACCTTTGATTTTGCCATATGATATCTCCAGTTGGCATTAGATGTTTTAAATTAGTATTTTTGGTTTTGGTGTTCATAAGTGTTTTATATTTTGACTTTTCAGTATTGGTTTTAGTGGAATACCTGATTTAGATGACCACAGAACACATGTCATGCGCACAAAATTCGGGAACATATTAAATTACGACTGGAAATTGTTTATTGTGGTCCTATTTCTATATGATGTTTAATTGAAATAGGTAAATAACAAAGTTTGTTTTCACATGAATACTAATCCAAAAGTTACATTAAAATTTAAAATGCAAATTTAACTTTCAGGAGGAACAAACAGAATTAGTAGCATTAAGTAGAAATTAACACAGAACTATTTAAAATCCAAAACCTAATACTTACGTTTAGGAAATGCTCAAACCAAAGAGGAACTCACTTTTAACTTAATGTTATCCCCACATTTTATTTTATTCATACTTGCACAAATTGTGCAATTCTTTATCTACATACATAAAAGCCTGATATAGGCATGTGTATACCAATAACTTCATTCCACCAGTATTTTCGTTGATTTTTTTATAATAATTAATTTGTATTAAACATTGGTTGTTTTACCTTTTAACATTTTCTCTGTAGACCTGGAGCAATGAATTAGCTTCTGTAGCTCAGACTTACGCTAATAAATGCGTCTGGAGTCACAACAGTGCAAGGTCATCACAGGCAAGCAGTTTCTACTACGTCGGTGAAAATATTTACGTTACAACAAGTAAGTCAATTATCATCGTACAAACGCTTATCCACTGTGTCTCGCACTTAAACTATTATTATGTCGACATTTTCAAAGTATAGTTGTATAAGAATTAATGACTATATCTCAAAATGAGAACGTTTTGGCATTTTTGAGTTAAACCAGAAAGCCAGAAGTTTCCAGCATTAAATCAAATATTAAAATATGAATACAAATATTTGACAAGCATATATCTTGTTAACATATTAAGAATATTGTTACTTGATAGTAAGATTTATATCACATTTTGATATTTATATTCAAGGGGTAAAATCGTCGCCTTATAATGATACATTCTTCTTTATTGAAAACTTATTTATGAAGGTATGTGACTTATCTGTCATATTTGAATCAATGCTTTTATTTATCAATCGGAAATTCAAAATTCAAAGACAGAACTTTATGAAATTAAAGTTTATGACAAATGATGTGCGGTTAATATTGCTGCAAACAATCAAAACACTGTCTGATTCGATTGATGTAGTCGAGAGTGACCGTTGAAAAAAAAAATATAAGAGAAACCCGTGTCGTGCTAAATGAAATCGGAGTAAAATTCTATATTAATACCACCGAACATGTGTCCCTGAAAGTAGACTCTCAATACCTGACGGATCATCCTCATAACACTTCTGTATCCTCCTCACGAGTATACATTTATTAGACAGTAACCCAAAGACACAAATAACCAAAACACAGAGGGTAACATACAGAGGGTAACATACAATGGGTAACATACAGTTGCCAACAGTAAACAGATTCATATTCATCAGTTTAATATATTAATAAATGTTTTGATAGGTTCTTATGGATATTTGGACAGCGGTGTTGCATCATGGGTCAATGAAAAGAAAGACTACGATTATGCGTCTAATTCATGCAGTGGAGTGTGTGGACACTATACACAGGTGAGAATATTAAGTATCAATAAATTTGTATTCCTACCATTCAAGGAACGAAGCAATTGTGATATTATGTTGCACGTTAAAGGCATTGAACTGGGTTTTACTATTGAACTAATAGGTAAAGATTAAAGACTTACCCCCAGTCTTTGGTGGGGTTCGTCTTTAGTTTTCTATGTTATGTTTTGTGTACTATTGTTTGTCTGTTGGTCTTTTTCTTTTTTTGCCATGGCGTTGTCAGTTTATATTCGACTTATGAGTTTGAATATCCCTCTAGTATATTTCGCCTCTCTTTTAGAAATATGTGACAATCACAAGAAAAGTTATTGTTTTAGTTGCTGATATCTATTGCCTGTTGCGTCTTCGTCGGGATTTGCTGCTCCATTTCTTTGAAAGTATAAAAAAAAGACATTCACCGAATCATTACTTTTTCAGACACAACCTAGGTGCTATTGACTTCTTCAGATAAATAACATTACGGTTAAAAAATGTTGAATTTGCATAAAAGAAGGTCAGAAGGCATGCTGTAAAGGAATTCAGCCATGGTTAATCATAAAAACTCTAACTATCTTTTTAATTCGAGACTTCAAGTGTATCATTACAAAGTGTAAGAAAATGTCACGCTTCTTTTCTTGTACCATACTTTGTCCACCGAGGACGGCCAAATCAGAAAATCGTTTCGGACACAGAATTCCAAAAGGTATTAGTACCATACATGCCCATGCAGAGAAATTAACGGGCTATCTTTGGTTTGATTTTACATGATAAGTCAAATATGATGTTAAATTCCAGACATGTTTTATGAGAGTGCTGCAATCGGCAGGTTATGCCATTTTTTTTTAGGCATCGCATATCAAAAGCTTATCAATTTCGTCTCGCCCTCAAAAGGGCATATATGGGGCTACTATGTTGCGCTAATTGATTCGATCAATCTTTTCATAATATCTTTTTATAATATTTCGTCAACAGGTTGTCTGGGCTGACAGTACCAAGCTTGGATGTGCCGTAGGAAGTTGTGCTACTATGAATAATTTACCATCTTACTTTAAGAACTGAATGTCAAATTCTTAGTATGCAACTATGGACCAGGGTGAGTTTTTACGTTCAAATAAGCTAATAATTTACATAGATATATAATTAATATCTTTTACATTACATTAAGTGTTAAAAAACATAAAAAAAGATCTGTAATAGTTGTATTTTGTTTTCTTTCTTTAAAACTATTTTGTCTGTTTCTGATTACAAGAAAGTAAGACTTTTCAATAGCGGAACTTTGTTATATTACATTAGTTACAAAATTTGCATCACTTAACATTTGCCATATTTACCACTTCCAATAGGAGTACGGTATCAGTTAGAACGTTGACAGAGGGTCATGAAATTGGGACTGTACTCCGAATGGAGTTTTATTATTTCTTTCATTTAATTTCTGCACAATATTTCTATTCACAGTAACTACCATCCATCATTTCATTTGAAAGATTTGTTGATCTTTACCTTGGATTGAAATATGGTATATATTTGTGAGTAATAACATTTTAATATGTTTGTTTCAAGAACTTATTTCAGATTATGTACCATGTCAAACAAATTTTTGACGTTAAACATGACACGTTCTCAATCAAATGAAAGTCGAGAACGTTCAGTTCTATAATGTGACTTTATAAGCAGGTCTTGCTATGGACACCAGTTGATGAGGTCATTAGATTGGCATTAGCAGGATACGAATATTTTGTAAGAGCTAAACTGGATACTGTCTTGCTATACAAATAGACTTTAGGGGCCAGCTGAAGGACGCCTCCGGGTGCGGGAATTTCTCGCTGCATTGAAGACCTGTTGGTGGCCTTCTGCTGTTGTCTGTTCTGTGGTCGGGTTGTTGTCTCTTTGACACATTCCCCATTTCCATTCTCAATTTTATTCCAGTCATTTCACAAGTAACTTAATAAACGCATGTGCATATAATGTAAATGGATTTTTCTTGATCGACTTCTGAATCATATAGTTCAAACGAATTTAAAAATACACTCCCTTAATTTTGCAGTGGTAATTACAATGGTGTGAAACCTTATGAACAAGGCACAGCAAGCAATGACAATGGATCAGCAGGAACATCCGGCGGCTGCAAGTAGATAGGTAATTTGAGCTTTTCAAGTAGTTGTTGCAGCTTCCAGCTTTTACTTTTACAAGCTGACTACTAATGTTCATCCTATATGAGTTTTTATATTAACTCCCGAAACCAAAGTGAAAAAAATCCTTTCAAATGTTCTAAACACTTTTATTTCAATTTCTATGTTATTGAGTTTATTTCAAATGTGACTATGTTAACCACAGTTGTTAATCACTGCATATGATATCATTTAACTTTGAAATATATTATTTTTTGAATATGTAAGATAAATCAGTCTTCATCTAATAAAATATAAGGTTCAACAGAGTAAATATGATTGAGTAAACATATAAAATAACATAATACGACGCTAAATAAACCTTTGAAGAACACTGGTGGAACAAGGTATAAAATTTGACCTTTTAGATAGTTTATTCCAACAAAACCTTGCAAGAACAAAGAGTTCCAAATGGTGAACTTGAAATCATCCCTTCGTTTACGGACGCCATCACGAGTTAGTTGACCGTTATGGAATAACCGTTTCACAGATGATATCGGATATGTTCCTTATGTTGTAACTACAATACCCTTCCCTTTTCACGAATGTGACCTACCGAATTAGACTATTTACCGGATTTGTTATAATATAAGCAACATGACGGGTGCCACATGTGGAGCAGGATCTGCTTACCCTTCCGGAGCACCTGAGACCACCTCCAGTTTTTGGTGGGGTTCGTGTTGCTTAGTCTTTACTTTTCTATGTTGTGTCATCTGTACTATTATTTGTCTGTTTGTCTTTTTATTTTTGGCCATGGCGTTGTCAGTTTGTTTTCGATCTATGAATTTGACTGTCCCTTTGGTATCTTTCGTCTCTCTTTTACAAAGAAGTTAAAATTAAAATATACACACAACCTCTTCATTTCAACTTTGTGGGTGGATAATTGTCTCATTGGCAATCATACCACATCTCTTTATCTTCATATACATAAAAATAATTCGAGAAAAACGAACAAGAGTCATGTCATAATTCATTTTATTAAACATACAGTACAATATAAATATAGGAAAAGACAAACCAATGAAAACGTTGTCTCGATAAAATTGTACCTATAAGGCATTTATACTATATGACCTAATTCCTTATTTGAAATAAGTATACACTATTTGATATAATATATGTTTAATCCTGGAAGTAATATACACTGAAATAAAGATCAAATGATTATATCACACATGCAATTTTCTGTAGCCTTGGGTTACACTTATATTTATACATATCGATCAAAACATAATAACTTGTCTTTTATTTTGTAGAATGAGCAAGCAGCGTACAAAATGGTTTGTTGAAACCCGACGACTAGACAAAAAATAGTAACTTTCTTTTATATTTGTCCAGAACCTTATAATTAAAATATTTCACGCATGGTCTCGTGGTCTTAATTATTATGCACATAGAATTATACATTAAAAGGATAACCAGAATGAAAAAGTATTTGAAAGTTAACCAGGCCACAACAACCACCAACATTTACCCCCTCCTCCTCCCGCAAAATTAGAAAAACACATCGAACAATAGGGGAACCAGATATCCTGACTTGGTACAGGTACAGCAAATGGCGAGGTAAAACTTTATTTTGCCTATCCAGATCACATGTCATAAATGTAAAACACAATAAACCTGCACAGCCCAGGTACCAGCAATATGACAAACTTAAGGACACTATAACTACAATTTATGAGAACATAACTCACAAAATGATACCCTACCCCTAAATAAAGCAATGTCTTATCATTTGCTTGAATTCGGATAAAGGAAAACAAAATAAGAGACGAATAAAAGCATTATACAGTGAAGTTTCTGAGAAAGTTTCAATAAATTCTAATAAGGGTTAAGGAGGAAGTGCGGATACAAAATGCATATACCCTTCAGGAAAGCAATGTCAAAATCCATAATATGCTAACGTAAAGCACAAGAAAGGAGAAGTTGCGTATATAAAATGGGTCTCACAGATAAAGCAATGACAAAATTCATCAATGTCTAAGGGAACAGTTCGATCCAAAATAATTCAGTTAAAAAAAATAAGAGGTGTACAATGGTATTATATGGTGAAAGAGAGGCGAAAGATACCAAAGGGACATTCAAACTCATAAGTTTAAAAAAAAAAGATAACGCTATGGCTAAAAAAGAAAAAGAACAACAGACAAACAATAGTACACAAAACACATATATATTCCGAGAAAGTTTTCTAAAATTTAGATTTGTGGTTTCGTTGTATAAGCGGACACACATTTATAATGAAGTGTGTGGATACTTTTTACAGGTTAATTTCATACAAAAGTAAACTCAGAAATGTCACTATGACGTCATACATATGTAGAAAAATAACGTTATTAATCTAAAATGACGATTTCACGCCTATTTTGTTTTGGCGAAATAGATACAATTGAAGGCCTTACGAAAAGATATATTTAAACACATAAACATCTTTGTAAACGTATACTAATATCAGACAGACTAATGTCTTATGAACATCTTTAAGATAGTGACGTTGTAAAAACAAGAATATCTCAGAGAAGCTAGATCATTTAATTAACTTTGAATCTTTGAAATGCTAAGGATTATCTGCCCCAGAAATAGATTACATTAGCTGTATTTTGCAAAACCTTTCGGAATTTTGGGTCCTGCATGGTATTCAATATCGTACTTTATTTGGCCTTTTAAACTTTTTTGATTCGAGCGTCACTTATGGGTCTTCTGTAGACAAAAACGCGCGTGTAGCGTGTAGCCTGGTGTCTATGATGAGTTTTTCTACAACCACTGGGTCGATGCCACTGCTGGTGGAGGTTTCCTGCCTGGGGGTATTATCACCCCAATAGTTAACATTTTTGAGTTGACATGAAGTATCATTGATCTGGTCATAATAACAAATTCTCTGTTTACAAAACTTTTAATTTTTCGAAATACTAAGGATTTTCTACCCCAGGAATAGATTACCTTAACTGTCTTTGACAAAACCTTTCGGAACTTTGGGTCCTCAATGCTCTTCAACATCGTACTTTATTTCACCTTTTTTTTAAACTTTTTTAATTCGAGCGTCACAGATGAGTCTTTTGTAGACGAAACTCGGGTCTGGCGTTCAAAATTTTAAGCCTGTTATGTATGATGAGTTCATTCACATACATGTATATACATATTGATGATGTTCTCTCCATTATCAATCAAAACTTTTCAGATTGAGTCCCATTAATATATCTTCCAGAACTAGAGATTTAAGAAACCACAGACACAGCTTCATCCTCCTCAATTTAAGACATTTACCTCGAATTTGACTCCGGCGGTCATCTCAGTACCAGAATCTATGACAAACGAGACGATTTCCATTTTGAAATTATAAATTTTTCTCACCTTAGCAGCGCTACACCAACTTCACCCGCGTATGAAGTGTACAATTCTCAAGTCATCTCAACAATATACGACTGTCATACAAGTGGGAGGTTTAGCTAGCAATACAAACAGGTTGAACCCACTATTTTCTTCGGACAATGCCTGTACCAAGTAAGGAATATGACAGTTGTTTTCCATTCGTTCAATTGGTTGATATAGTCGATCATTTGGTTCTGTCTGATTTTATGGACTTCCCCTTTTTGAATTATCATTCGAGTTCAGGATTTGTGATAATACATTTTTTATTCAGTAGAGACATAAGTCTTTATTTGTGTCTGCTTAACATCTTATGCATATATGTATGCAGATCGAGGAAGAATTAAAAAACAAATCAATTTGGATAATACAAAAGCATAAGTTCTACAAAATTGATCAATCAGGATGGAGATCGAGATATTTGTAATATACTACCGATATACAAAAAAAAAATAACAAAAACTCCAAGGTAGAATCCAAAAAAGGGAAGTCAATAAAAACTGATAAAATAAACGCAATCAATCAACGAAACAAGCAGGAAACAACTGTCATATTCCTGACTTGTCACTGGCATTTTCCGAAGAAAATTTCGGGTTTAAACAAAAGAAGCTCAGAATCATGGCCTTGAACAAGGTCACATTTCGACCACAAAAGGTTACTAACGTGCAGATAGCGCAACACTCTCCCAATACAGAATATCTAATTGAAAAAGTGCCAAACTCTGACTCTAATTTATCATTTTTGCGTATTACTTTGAGTAATTAATTAATAATAAATAAGCAATCACATTGACGGATGCTTATTTCTATTACAACCCCAAAAGGTATTGAATAGTTTATCGACGTCGACTGGATTTAATATTACTTTTAATTCATATATAGTTATCAACTGATCTTTTTATTTGTGAATATATTTATTAATATCGTAATATGACTCAGGCTGATAGCCAGTTGAAAATAAACAAAAGAAATGAACTCTATATTTGAGAAGACAAAACATGGCAAAGTTGGTATATTTTAATTGTTTACACCTGTTTCGGCGGCCCTTAAAAGGCTAAATGTAGATGACTGCTTTAGGATTTTTTGCATCTTATATACGTGCTTATACTCAAATTATAGTATGGATCTAAGAGATATTTGTAAGCTTTATAAATTAAAGACAATTTTTCAGAAAACAGTGGATTATGGTAGGTGCAAATACCATTTGAAAATAGTTCCATAAAAAGATAACAGATTGATCTTTTTAAAGCATTAATTTGCATCTCTACCACCTACAATAGTTTTTGTGTACAAAATCCTTCAAATTGGCAATAATCTTATAGAAAAAGAAAGTCGGGTTCACCTTTTTACGTTCAGGCGTATTTGAGCTCACTGTTGTGTCCTGAAAACGTACAAAGCAAAAATATTTGACGCATCCTCACTTCAGTTTCCATTATTTTGATACATGTAGGCTACATGTTGATATAATAACATTAAAAATTCACAGTACCAAATAAATGAAAAGTGAAATACTTTTTTAATGAGTCATAAAAACAACAATTTGAAGTGTAATTTTAACTTATATTTTTCTTTAAATATTTGTTCATTCATTTTCAAATAAAATTTAGGCATATTAATTATTTTATTCAAATTCATACCATTCACTAACACCTTAAAATTGAAGATTAGATAGTTAGTAAAACTATTTTTACGCCTATAAAATGTTGCGATAGCTTTTCTGATGTATGGATAAAGTCCCGTCCATTTCATTGATTAAATTGAAGCGAATGGACATGAAAACGTGACATTGCTGCAATGTTACGTGACATCATTGCCTAATATTTTCGATTATCACATCCTGCCCAAGATCTATGAACGGAAAGTTGTCGTCGTGACCTAAGAATTTAGATATTAAAATTGTACCTAATATAAAAATAAGAAGATGTGGTATGATTGCCAATGAAACAACTCTGTTCCAGAGACCAAATGACGTAGAAGTTAACAAATATAGGTCACCATACGACCTTCAACAACAAGCAAAACCCATACTGCATAGTTATTTTTGTTTTTCGGTGGCCATGTCACTCCAAATGCCGTTAAAAGTTCCTGTGTTTAAGTGAATTGTGTATTCATCAGAATAAAATGTTGATTGGACTTAATGTGGAATATCAAGCATGAGTGTTAAACCTTTAACCGATCGGTTAAACTGTTCTCCTAAGACAATTTAGTACCAGCATCGACACCAAAATCAAACATACGATCGCGAAAATCTCCATCAGCCCATAATTTGCCAATACAAGCTATAAAACGGGAAAGTGTGTGAAATCTACTGAGTCTCAAAATCTAAGATTGAAAAACTTCAGGCATTGACCATTTGACTTGCTGTGATACGGCGTGAAGTTGTTAATCGAACGTCTGTATAGCAAAATCCTGTCAAACTGCTTTCGACATGTCCATACATTTCTTCATAGTTGTATACAGGGTTGACATGTCGCCTGACAACGATTCAACAACTGATGATATGTGACAAGTGTCAGACAAGGACATGATTCTGATACCTGGCCATTAAATCCAGTCCAGAAAGGGATTGTTTGCTTACTTTGTTCTGGAAGTTCCATTGGAAATGTAACTACTTCTCTGAACAGAAGTCGCAGCAAAACCAAAACTGAAGCTGATGGAGCTTCAAAACATTCGGAACAAGAAAGTATAGCAATATAGGAATTCTCTCGACGTGGACGCTCATGACACATTTTTGGCTTATGAAATGGTAGACTTGAGAGCGTTTTACTGCCCTCGTTTAACTTTTATCTATTCAACAGAGCTTGAATCAGTCATTTCAATCTGCAGTTAGAATATAGTTCTAGCCTTAGAATGGAAAGTGTTCGTCCACCGTTTCCGTATTAATTTCTATGTTATCAGACTCTTCCTGGAAAGGATAACTGTTAGCTGACAACGGAACGATACCGTTTGGAACGTACATACCTCTGTTTATCTTATCAACTTCATTAGTTGATAGGCTTGTAAGGT